TAAATTTTTGGATACATACAAACTACCAAGACTGACCCAGGCAAGAATAGAAAACCAGAACAAACCAATAACAAGTAATGAGATTGAAGCAGTAATCAGCAGTCTCCCAACAAAGAAAAGCCTAGGACAGGATGGCCTTATAGCTGCATTCTTTTTTTTTTTTTTTTTTTTTTTTTTTTTTTTGTCTTTTTTTGTGACCGGCCACACCGCACTCAGCCAGTGAGCGAACCGGCCATCCCTATATAGGATCCGAACCCGCGGTGGGAGCGCTACTGCGCTCCCAGCACCGCACTCTCCCGAGTGCACCACGGGGTCGGCCGTTACTGCTGCATTCTACCAAACCTTTAAAAAGAAATTAATAGCAATTCTCTTCATACTATTCCAAAAAATTGAGACAGATGCCTTCTCCCACACTCAGTCTATGAAGCCAGCATCACCCTGATACAAAAATCAGACAAAGATACAGCAAAAAAAAAAGAAAAAAGAAAAAGAAAACTACAGGCCAATATCTCTGATGAACATAGATGCAAAAATCCTCAACAAAATATTAGCAATCATAACACACATCAAGAAAAAATTATACACCATGATCAAGTGGGAATCATCCCAGGGATGCAAAGATGGTTCAACAAACTCAAATCAATAAATTTGATACACACATCAACAAAATCAAGAACAAAAACCATATGATCATCTCAATAGATGCAAAAAAAGTACATGACAAAATTCAACATCCTTTCATGATAAAGACTCTCGACCAATCAGGTATAGAAGGAAGATAACTCAACACAATAAAAGCCATATATGACAAACCCAATGCCACTATCATTCTGAATGGGGAAAAGCTGAAAGCTTTCCTTTAAAATCAGGAAAAAGACAAAGATGCCTGCTCTCACCACTCCTATTTAACACAGTATTGGAAGTACTTGCCAGAGCAATCAGACAAGAGAGAGAAATAAAGGGCATCCAAATAGGAAAAGACAAAGTCAAATTGTCCCTGCTTGTACATAATATGATCCTGTATTAGAAAACCCTGAAGACTCTACCAAAAACCTCGAGCTGATAAACAAATTCAGTAATGTTTCAGGATACAAAAATCAATACACAAAAATCAATAGCTTTTTATATTCCAACAATGAACTAGAAGAAAAAGAAATCAAGAAACCAAGCCTATTTACAATAGTCACCAAAATAATAAAATACCTAGGAATCAATTTAACCAAGGTGGTGAAAGATCTCTACAATGAGAATTACAAATCACTGCTGAAGGAAATGAAAGAAGACACCAAAAGATGGAAAGACAGTCCTTGTTCATGGATTGAAAGAATTCATGCAGTGAAAATGTCCATATTGCCCAATGCTATCTACAGATTCAATGCAATACCCATCAAAATACCAGTGACATTCTTCATAGAAATAGAAAAAAACAATCCTAACATTCATATAGTATGACAAAAGACCCCAAATAGCCAAAGTAATCCTGACCAGAAAAAAAATAAAGTTGGAAGCATTACACTTCCTAGCTTTGAATTATATTACAAAGCTATAGTAACCAAAACAGCACGATAGTGGCATAAAAACACTTGGACCTATGGAACAGGATAGAGAACCTAGAAATCAACCCATGTATTTATAGCCAACTGACCTTCAACAAGGGCACCAAGAACTTAAAATGGGGAAAGGAGAGCCTCTTCAATACATGGTGCTGGGAAAACTGGATATCCATAAGTAAAAGAATGAAACTAGACCTGTACCTCTTGCCATCTACCAAAATCAACTCAAAATGGATTACAGACTTAAATATAAGACTGGAAGTTTTAAAACTCCTGGAAGAAAACATACGGGAAACACTCCAGGATGTAGGGCTGGGCAAAGACTTTATGAATAAGACCCCGAAAACATCAGCAACAAAAGAAAAAATAAACAAATGGGATTACATCAAACAAAAAAGCTTCTGCACAGCAAAAGAAACAGGTAACAGAACAGAAACACAGCCTACAGAATGGGAGATAATATTCACACACTATGCATCCAGCAAGGGATTAATATCCAGAATACACGAGGAACTCAAACAACTTAACAGTTAAAAAAAAAAAACAAAACCCAAAATCCAATTAAAAACTGGGCAAAGGGGCCCGCCCCGTGGCGCACTCGGGTGAGTGCGGCGCTGGGAAGTGCAGCAGCGCTCCCGCCGCGGGTTCGGATCCTATACAGGAATGGCTGGTGCACTCAGGCTGAGCGTGGTGTGGCCGGTCTCAAAAAAGACCAAAAAACAACAACAACAACAACAACAAAAACTGGGCAAAGGAGCTGAATAGACACCTCTCAAAGGAGGACATACAAATGGCCAACAGACATATGAAGAAACGCTCAACATCACTAATCATCAGGGAAATGAAAATCAAAACCACTGTAAGATACCATCTCACCCCAGTTATACTAGCTATTATCAAAATGACAGAGAATAACAAATGCAGGTGAGGATATGGAGAAAGGGGAACCCTTCTGCACTGTTGGTGAGACTGTATATTAGTACAGCCATTATAGAGAACAGTATGGAGTTCCTTAAACAACTACAGATAGAACCAATCATGCAATCCAGAAATCCCACTATGGGGTATATACCCAAAGTAATGGAAATCTCTTGTTGAAGGGAAACCTGCATTCCCATGTTTATCACAGCCCTATTTACAATAGCCAGGCTATGGAACCAACCTTAATGTCCATTGATGGATGAATGGATAAGGAAAATGTGGTTTATATACACAATAGAATACTACTCAGCCATAAAAAAGAATGAAATTCTGCCACTCACAGCAACATAGATAAGCTTGGAGAAAACTATGTTAAATGAAACAACCCAGGCACAGAAAAAGAAATACTGCATGTCTTTACTCATAAGTGGGAGCTTAATAAATAAATAAACAATGGCAGGGGGGTGGAGAAAGAAAGAAAGAACTATCACAATAATACGCAGAACTTTTGGAAACAGAACAGAACCATGGATACTAGAAGTAGAAAGCAGGAGGAGGAAGAGAGGAGGGAAAGGGGCATTAATGAGCAATTAATGAGAAATCAGTTAATGGAAACAAAAAATGATTACACACTGTAATGATGAATAAGCTAACTATCCTGATTTGACCATGACATATTGTACACAACTACTGATATTCAACTTTGTACCCCACAAATATGTATAATCATTTATGCGTCAGTAAAAAAAAGAAAAAGAACCCCTATAAAGTAACCAGTAAATCCCCAAATGCCAAAACCAAAGACATCCTGTACTAATTTTTAATTTTCCCTTAATCTCTCTCATTTAACACAGGGGCAAACACACTTTTCTCTTTCCTCTTGCCTCTCAAGACATTTGATTTACCTCAATTTTCCTGCTACTCTATCTAGAAACTCTAGAATCAATCACTCATTCTTTTTGCCTTAACTCAAATTTCCTGCCCATACAGTAAACCATCATCTTTCCCTAAATCCAATTTCTGAATTCTTTTTCCATTAATGGCACCACCATTTCTCTAGTGATTTAGGCCAGAAGCTGGGAAGTCTTTTCTAACACTTTCTTCTCACTTAGCCCCTACATTCAGTCAGTGGCATATCAAATGGATCATGCCTTATAAATTCTTATGTTATTTGATCCTTCCTTTTTTCTTTTTTAATCCTTCCTTTGAATTCCCACTGTCACCCCTGTGATTAGGCCCTCATTACTTTTTATACATAATTGCTTCCTAACTTTGCTCTCTGTCCAGTCTCTCTCCACTGCAATTTATCTTACATACTGCCTCCAAGTTAATTTTTCATACAGTTCTAATATCACTTGTGAACTTAAAAACTTTCAAAAATTTCCCAACAAACTAATTCCTCGAATTGACAGAAAATCTTTCACGATATTTTTCCACACTAGCATTCTCATTTTTTCCTCACATCTTTACAAATCTATACTTTATGCACACGCACACATACATACATACATACATACACAAACTATACCATCAATTGTTCTCTAGGTACACCTTATATTTCCCCATCTTTGGATGTTCACTTATGCTTTCAACTTTACATGAAATAACTTCTAATTTCCCAACTACCTCCTCTGCTAGTCAAACTAATACCCCTCTTTACATGACCACTGAAATCTTTTCTTTTCTCCTTAGTCTCACCAATTGGATAAACATAATTTCCCTCTCTCTCTCTATCCTTTTAATCCCCATAGCACTTTGAATTTCTTTTACTGAATATATATCTCTTTGCTGTACAATCATGTAAATGCTCGCATTTGTACTTAAAATAATTTCTCTGAGAATAAGCAACATGTCTTATTCTCTTTATATCTCCCTTGTGCCTTGAATATGAACCATGTCAGCTTGTTGAATTGAATCTCAATGTCTCACAAATACATCGTTTTCTTTATTCTAGTTGTCACAAATGAAAAGTAATAACACATTTCTACTCTGTAGAAATGTACTTTCTTTCAAAGTAAGCAGTTTCAATGGGTGATTTTCAATGACATTACATGATTACAGACCTTGTACTGGGTCATTTGGTCTTTAGGTTTTCATACATGGGTCATAATATAAATATTTCTTTACTTAATATTTTATCCAAAGTTTTCTTTTTTCTATTTTGTATTTCATTGTTTCATAATATAACATATTTCTAAGTTGTTAATGGGTTCTTAAGATTTTACATGCTTCTTCATTCCTACTATTCTATAATGAGTCCAATCTTACTATATTAAATATCTGCAAATTCTCATTTTCTCCTTCCTTGGAATAAAGTTTTTATACCAATTTTTTATTTCTTGCTAGTAGCCCACTTTTCATATACAAAATTTGAAACTATTATTAAACTACTTTTGATAACGTATTCTGGGAGTAATAATGGCAATAAAAATAAGCTACTTATATACCAGTACTCAAAATAATATAACCATATCACAATTAATAATTTATTGCTTGAAATAAGTCAATGTGTGCACTTAAGATTACCTGCTATTGTGTTGAGAAACATCAGGTACTCAAAATTTGAAATTTCTCTGTGTTGCCATCTCTGGGTCATATTAGAAGCTTTAAAAAGTTGACGAGGACTAGCTAATGAAATATGCCTGCAAAAAAAAAAAAAAAAAGTTTAACGTAGAATCAACTTAACTTCAGATTAATCATATATCACAATAATAAATCATGAATCATTTTTGCTTATTTATTCATAATGACACCTATAATTCTGAAAAGCTCTATTCATGTTAGATTAATGAATACTAGAGATGTTTCAATTTACAATTGATGGTTAAACAACCAATTAGGACTAGCCAGAGATCTATTTTACATGTTCTATTCATTAAGGTAAGCTGTCATGACAATGCCATTATAATTTCTAGGTTCCATAAAGTTTGATCAATAACAGTATGGTTAATAATTCATTGGTTTACTGATATAAAAAGAAAGAATTATAGTAACTACAAAATGCACAGAAAAGTATATTCACATGTCTTTATCAGTTTTAATGGTCATCTCTTAAAGACAACACATTTGTACATTATAAATTTAAATATTATATTTGCATACTTTTTATAACAAGAAGAAAGGGGATTCTAAACTATTGAGGTATCTACTCATGGGGTGGCATAAAGGTAAGAAAAACTATTGACATTTTTTGATACAGCTTAATAGAATGCCAAATATTCTATGTTCTCCTAACGAAATGTAAATACATTAAGACAGATACAACTGACCAATACTAAGGAAAAGTGGGAAATAGGTAGCAGGATTAGTTATTACATTCAAAGCCTAGAGTCTCAGAGCAGTTTGCTGTCACAGTTCTTCCTACCACAAAGGACAAGGTAATGTTTTTCTTTTTAAGGTTTAATAAGTTATAATTAACATACCATAAATTTATTCATTGTAAGTGTACAATTCAACAAGTTTTTCTTAAAAAAAAGAAAATTTCTAGAGTTGTGCAGTTATCACCACAATCTACTTTAGAATATTCTCATCACCACAAAAACTTGCCTTGTGCCTATTTACAGTTAATCTCATGCCTATCCCCAGCTCCAGGCAACTACCGATCTACTCTATGTCTATATAAACCTGGCTTTTCTGGACATTTCACATAAGTGGAATCACACAGTGTCAGGCTTCTTTCACTAACCATAACGTTTTTGAGGTTCATCAGTATAGAAGCATGTATCAATAGTCCATTCCTTTCTATTGCTGAATAGTATTCCATTATATGAATATAGTATATACCATATTTTTCTAATCTAGTTGATGGATATTTAAATTGTTTCCAGTTTTTGGCTATTATGTTATTATAGCCATTTTAGTGAGTGTGAGATGGTATCACATTATAGTTTTAATGTACATTAATGAGCATCTCTTCATGTGCTTATTAATCATCTGTTTATCTTCACTGTTGAAATGACTATTCAAATCTTTTCCTCCATTAATTGAGTTGTGTTATATTATTGAGTTGTAAGAGTTCTTTATACACTCTGGACACAAATCTGAGGTGGTTAATTTTATGTGTCAATTTAACTGGGTTAAGTGATACACAGATAGCTGGTAAAACGCTATTTCTGCGTATGTCTGTGATGGTGCTTCCAGAGAGATTAGCATTTGAATCCATAGGCTTAGTAAAGCAGACTACCCTCCCCAGTGTGGGTGGGCATCATCCAATCCACTGAGGACTGAAGAGAACAAAAAGGAGGAAAGGTGAATTGCCTCTTCTCTTTGAGCTGGGACATTCATCTTTTCCTGCCCTTGGACCGTAGATCTCCTGGTGCTCTGTCCTTTGATCCTCCCTCCAACCCCCACTCTCAAGCCTTCCAGCCTTGAGTTTGGCCATCAGCTCCACTGATCTTAGACCTAGAACTGAACTACACCACGGCTTTCCTGGGTCTCCAGTGTACAGATGGCATATCATGGGATTTCTATGCCTCCATGATCACGTGAGCAATTCCCATAATAAATCTTCTCTTACATGTCTATACACATCCTATTGATTCTAATTCTCTGGAGAACCTTGACTAATACAAAGTGTTTTATCAGATATATGATATACAAATATTTTCTCAGTCTGTGGCTTATTTGCTTATTTACACAGAGGTATAACTTTGAAGCACAAAAGTTTTAAATTTTGATTAAGTCCAATTTCTCAATTTTTTTAATAGATTATGCTTTTGAAGTCATATCTGAGAAGTGTTTGCCTATCCCAACTTCACAGTCTTTCTCTTATGTTTTCTTTTAGACATTTTATAGTTTTAGGTCTTACATATAGGTCTGTGACATATTTTTAGTTAATTTTTACGAATAGCATGTGGTAAGCATCCAAGTTTCCTTGCGTGTGAATATCCAATTGTCTCAGTACCATTTGTTTAAAGATTATCTCTCTTCTTCATTGAATTGTGTTGGCACCTCTGTCGAGAAACAACTGACCATAACTGTAAAAGTTTATTTCTGTATTCTCAGTTCTATTCCATTGATGTATATGCCTCTCCGTATACAAATACCATATTGTCTTGATTACTGTAGCTTTATAGTAAGTTTTGAAATATGATAGTGTAAGTCCTCTAATTTTGTTCTTCATTTTCAAAACTGTTTTGGCTATTCCAGATCCACTGCATTTTACCTTCTCAATTCTCCAAAAAGGTCTGATGGAATTTTGATAGAGATTACAGTGAATTTAAAAATTTGGGGAGAATTGCCAACTTAATCATACTGAATTTTCTGATCCATGAACATGGAATATCTCCATTTACTGATTTTTTTTTTCATTTCTCTTAGAAATGCTTTATAGTTTTCATAGTACAAAATCTTACACTTCTTTTGTGATTTGTGAATGAAGACTTTCAAAAATTCCTTCAAAATCAGGATGCCTTTTATTTCTCTCTCCTTTCCTCCCTCCCTCTCTTCCTTTCTTACAGCACAGGCTGAAATATTCAATGTAATGCTGAATAGAAGTGGTGAGAATGGTGGGCATTTTTACCTTCCTGTATTTGGAGGAAAGCATCCAGTTTTTCAACATTCAGTATGATGTATGCAATAGGTTTTTTTGGTAGATGGTTTTTTAATCAGTTTGTGGAAATTCCCTTCCATTTGTAGTCAGCTGAGTTTTAAATCATGAATGTGTGTTGGATTTTGTCAAATACTTTTTCTATTGAGATGTATCTATTGAGATGATCGTGTGGTTTTTGTCCTTTATTCTATTAAGCTGGTGCAAAAAATACATTTTTTCAGATTTAAAACAATCTGCATTCCTGTGATAAAACCCACAAAGCCATTTTATAATCGTTTTCATACATTGCTAAATTTGATTAGCTAAATTTTTAAAAAGATTTTTGTATCTGTGTTCATGAGGAAAATTGGCCTTTTTTTTTTTTTTTTTCTTGTTTGTTTCCAAGATGGGGATGTCTGTGTGGCATTGGTAGTTGGGTAATATTTGGCCTCAGAGAATGAGTTGGGAAGTATTCTTTCCTCCTCTCTCTTCTAGATGAGTTTGTGAAGGACTGATGTAATTCCTACTTTAAGTATTTAATAGGATTCACTAGTAAAGCCACCTGGGCCTGGGCTTTTCTTTATTAGGAGATTTTTAAATTAATAATTCAATTTCTTTACGTATTTAGAAGTCTATTCAGATTTTCAGTTTCTTCTTGACCCAGGTTTGGTAATTGTGTTTTTCTAGGGTTTTGTTCATATCATCTAAGTTGTCTAATTTGTTGGCATAAAGTTGCTTATAATATTCCTTTCTAATCCTTTTAATTTCTATATGGTCTGTAGTGATGCCCCTACTTTCATTTCTGATTTTGGTAATTTATGTCATCTCTATTTTTTTCACAGTTAGGCTAGTTAAAGTCTGTCAATTTTACTGATCTTTTCAAAGAATCAACTTTTGTTTCACTGATCTTCTATACTGTTTTTTGTTTGTTTCATTGGTTTTTCCTATATCTTCATTATGCATTTTTTCTACTTTATTTGCTTGGTTCTCTTTTCTATTTCCTAAAGGTGGAAACTTAGATTGTTAATTTGAGACATTTCTATATTTCAGATATAGATGTTTAAAGCTATAAATTTTCCCCTTACACTACTTTAGCTGTATCCCATTAATTTTGATATGTTATGGCTCTGCTGAATATAGGCAACCAAATCACTATGCCTCTCAGTCCATAAGAAGACAATACTGGCCACCTCATACAAAGCAACCCATCTCCACTCCAGTAATCACTATTATAACACCCTAATTATATGTTTCCTGTCACTTATCAAAGGTATTTAGTTCACATATTTCTTTAAACATGTATGGACAAGATTATATCTATCTTGTACACTGCCGGCTGCCTGACACATTGAAGTGCTGAAAAATCTATTTAAGAGACTGATTAATGAGTTAAGACTTTTACTTTTCCTTAATTATGGGAAAACATTACAAAGAGCTCCCAGATATGATAACTCATACTACGTGATGAATAAAACTCTTCTAAAATAAAAGGCAATGAGTAGAAGAAGACTTTTTCATTATAAGAAACTCTATTATGCTCTTCTGAGCTGCTGCTTCTTGAACCTTGATATTCCTCGTTATATTATAAAAATTATCTACTCAAAGCCATCACTGGCATTGTAAAGCAAATATTGCTTATAATCCAGAAGAGCCACTTTATTTGCCCTGTTTACATAAAAGTTGTGACCTGTGGTAGTTTTGAAATGTATCCACAAGAGGGAGAGCTTAATTCCCCTCTCCTGGAGCCTGGGCTGTGTCTAGTGACTTACATGTAACAAATACAACGTTGGAGAAATGATGGAATGTGACTGTCAAGGGTTATATAAAGATATTGGAGCTTCTGCCTCATTCTCTCTTGGATCTCCTGCTTTGCAGGAAGCCAGCTGCCTTGTCATATAGATACTCAAGTAGCAGATGGAGAGACTGACTCGGTGAGGAACTGAGGCCTACTACTGCTAAGAGCATGTGAGTTATTCATCTTGGAAAGTTCTCCAGCCTCAAGCTGACTATAGCTTCTACTAACATCTTGACTACATTCTATTTCAACTGCATTTGTAATAAGATATTACCTTAAAAATTTGAAATGAACATTAATCAAACAGCTCAAATCAA